CCAGGATTATAGGAGTGAGCCATCACACCAGCTATATTTTTACATTTCCCTTGAGATTTCCTCTCTGGCCCACTGGTTACTTAAAAGTTTGTTGTTAAATTTCTAAATATATGAAGATTTTCCTACTGTTTTTGTGTTACCGATTTCTAGTTTGATTTCACCATGGTCTGAGAATACACATGTATGACTTCAATTCTTTGAAATTTGCTGAGGTTTGTTTTACAGCACAGAATATGGTCTATCTTGGTGAATATTACATGTGCACTTGAGAAAAATGTGTATTCTGCCCTTGTTGGGTGACATGTTCTGCAAACATTTCTTAGGTTAGGTTAGGTTAGCTGAATGTCAGATAATTAGGTACTGATTTTTCTGCCTGCTTTGTCTATCGATTACTGACAGAGGGATGTTAAAGTCTCCAGTTAGGACTGGGGATTTTTTGGCTTCTAACAGTTTTTGTTTTATGTTATTTCAAAGGTCTTCTATTAGGTGCATATATATTAGTCATTTCTTAGAAGATGAACTATGTCATTTCCCTCTAAAGGGAAATATTATCCCTGGACAATATTCCCTGTTGTGAAATAAATATGTCTGCTTTAGCCTTGTTTTGGTTATTATTTACACAGTGTATTTTTCTCCATCATTTTAACTGCATACCTATTTATCTTTATACTTAAAGTGGGTTGGGTTCCTTGCAGACAGTATATTCTTTGGTCTTCTTTTAAAAAAAAAATCTGACAACCTTGTCTTTTTACTGATGTGTTCTAACCACATTCAATGTGATTACTTATATGGCTAGATTAAAATCTACCATCATGCTGTTTTTTACTTTTTTTCATCTGTAGTTTTTCTCTTTTCTATTTCTTGGATTATTGAGAGTATTTTTTATAATTCCTTTTTATCTCCTTTGTTGACTTGATTATTTTTTCTGCAGTTACACTAGGGTTTATAACATACATTCTGAGTTACCCAGCATTCATCTTCCAATAATACTATGTCATATATAAAATAAGGACCCGGCTCCCAGTACTTCCCTCCTTCCCTTCCTTTGTTGTTATATATGTTATTTTTACACATACTATAGACACAAAATACATTGTTACTCTTTTTGCCTTATACAGGCAGCTATATTTTGGAGCAATTAAAAAGTGGAAAATAACCAGATCTTGGTTTTAACACCATTCTCCAATAAAAGAAGTCAAAGCTTCTTTCCCTCTAGGACTGAGGCAGGAATACATAAGATGTGCTTGGAACACAATGAGGTGCCAGAAAGATAAAAAACCACATACCTCACACACACCCCACAAAGATGAGGGTATGTCAAAGGACAGAGAAACCAATGAATAGCCCTCAAAAACTAAAGCTAGATATCAGCAACAGAAAAAAAGTTGCTACTCCACAGTACCCCGAAGTATTAAAATCAATCCCATGAGCCTATATTTATATAAATCAGTGATTTGATAAATGATAGAGAACAGACAAATCTCCTTGTGCAGAAGAACTTAAAATAATACATTTAAGTATTTTCTTCCTTAAAGAGTCTACATAGAGTCTACTCCCAACTCTTTTTTTTTTTTTTTGAGACAGAGTTTCACTTTGTCGCCCTCAGTAGAGTGCCATGGCGTCACAGCTCATAGCAACCTCCAACTCCTGGGTTTAGGTGATTCTCTTGCTACAGCCTCCCAAGTAGCTGGGACTACAGGCACCCGCCACAAAAGCTGGCTATTTTTTGTTACAGTTTGGCTGGGGCTGGGTTTGAACCTGCCACTCTCGGTATATGGGGCTGGCGCCCTACCCACTGAGCCACAGGTGTTGCCCTCCCAACTCTTTTTTTGTTTGTTTGTTTGCAGTTTTTGGCCGGGGCTGGGTTTGAACCCGCCACCTCTGGCATATGGGGCTGGGGCCCTACTCCTTTGAGCAATGGGCACTACCCCCTCCCAACTCTTTAGATAAGGATTCCATATCGCGATTTTCTTCCAAAGACTACATTATGGAAAGAAGGGAAAACAGTAACTTTACAGAGAAGAAACCTGTAAAACACTACGTCAATCAGGTGACCAAGTTAACGTCAGTAGTAGTCACGTTGATACAGGTTCAACAACCCAAATGCAAAAATCTGAAATGTGAAATGCTCATAACCCCAAATCTTTTGAACACCAATGCAAATATCCCCAAATCAAAAAAATAAAAATAAAAAAATTTAAAAAGATACATGACCAGAACCCCTCTACTCCTCAAAACTGACGCAGTCACGGAAGCGGAAAGTCTTAAAAATTCTCACAGACAGGAGGAGTCTAAGGAGACAAGATTACTAAATGCAAAGTGGCATCCCAAAACAGAAAAGAGGTGAGGTTAAAAACTGAGTAAATCTGAATAAAGTATGAATTTCAGTTAATAATCATCATCAACACTGGTTCATTAATTATAATAAATGTACCATATTTGTTTTTAATAATAGAAAAAACTGTGTGTAGGTGGGTACACAGGAACTTTCTGCACTACTTTTGCAATCTTTTTATAAATCTAAAACTGTTCTAAAATAAACTTTCATAAAATGTAGGGTAAATGGATTTTATCTTCATTTACTCCACTTCCACTCTTCTTCATTTCCTTGTGCAGACTCAAGTTTTGGCTGCAATCATCTTCCTTCTGCTGAAGAGCTCCCTTTAAGCTCTTGTGGAGTAGGTCTGCTGGCAATAAATTCCCATGATATTGTTTGAGAAAGTCTTTATTTCTCCTTCATTTCTTAAAGATTTTTGCTGGGTATAGAATTCTAAGTTGAAAAAAAAATTTTTTAGTTTCAGCACATTAAAGTGTTACTCCATTATTTTCTTGTTTGTATAGTTTCTGAAGAGAAATATGGTATTAATTCTTATCTCTGTTCTTCTGCATATAACGTGTATCTTTTCTCTGGCTGTCTTTAAGATTTTTCTCTTTGTCTTTTGCTTTTAGCAATCTGAGTGTCAGAGTGTGTGTATGTGTGTTGGTGGTAGTATTTATCTTACTTGGGTATTGGTTACTATTTTTTGTAATTATTACTGCTGCTCCATCTTTTCCCTTCTCTCCTTTTGGAATTCCAATTACAAATATGTTATACCATTTGATAAAGGCCCATAGCTCTTGAATGCTTTGTTCTGTTTTTTCTTTTGTTTGTCTTGTTTTCACTCTTCTCTTTATATTTCAGTTTGGGTTATTCATACTGATTTACAGACCTATAGGTCTTTCCTCTGCTAGGCCTTTAGCACAGGGTTTGAGCCTTACTGTTGGCTCTGGTTAACTTAGTGTACCTACCCCAGGCTTCAAATCCCTCTGTCAGGTTTTCTCTCCACATGACTACTCCACTCTGTGCTATGCCTCAGAGGATGCGGCCTTCTCAGTTATGCTGCCATGCTCCTGGCATTGCTCCATACTCAGCATATCTTCCTGGTCTTCCACCATGGATTGAGAGATCATTCTTTTTCCCTTTCCCCAGATAAAATGGGATTTCATCAAAACCCTAAGAGCGGCAATGTTCATGTTCATCTCCCCACGGATTAAGGCTTTTGTTCCATAGAAGAGAAAGGAGACAAAGATCCAGACAAACCTTCTTCCCCCTAATGCAGTGGCTATTCTTCCCCTCTCCTAGTTGTGTACCACAAGGGAGACTTTTTCAGGACATTTTCAATCTCTTCTGTGAGCACACAGTGGGGTTCATGGAGAAAAAGCCTACAAGAGAACATAGACTCACCCTGTGTTATCTTGTGGTCCCCACAAGTTTCACACAGTCCTGCCAGTGCACACTTGGCCTCCAGTAATTCACCAATTATGCTAGCTTATTACCTCTGCCTTGTTCAGTGCTCAAATGTTGTCTCTCTCTGCAGTGTCTTTCTCTCCCTAGCTTCCAGGCCAGTACATTGCCCTGAAATTTCAGCACTACAGTGGGTAGAAGGAAAACTTGCTGCATGCCCAAGTTTTTTATTATAAGGTTGGGAGTGACAGTTTCCAGTTTTCTGCATCTCTGAACAAAAAAAGCACTTCTCTGTTTTTGATGCAGAGTCTAAGACTTAAAGAGATTTGGTCCAAATTCTGTTATGCAATATCTTAGACAAATAATAACTGTTAGCTCAGGTTCCTCATCTTTACCTTGCCAAAATCACAGTCTAATTAAGAATCAAATGAGATAATGCATATATGATTATGTTTGGAATTTATCAAGAATTACACAATTGTGGAATTATTATCTAAGCCTGATAGCATCACTTTTACTTAGCAAGAAGTCAAATGGTGTCTTAAATAGCTGCACAGCACAAAGAACACTCGGTATGTATGTCATTTAGTGGTAGTCAAACAGTTGCTAAACTAAGAATGATTTTAAAACTTGATTACATATTCCAATTATTTTCTACAAGAGGCTGAAAGAGATAAGGATGTTTTCCTCTTCTTCACAGACACAGACTCAGAATACAAAAGCAAATGAGGATAGAATGCTAAAGGCATTGTCAAGAGGGGAGGGTCTGGAGGATATCTACAGTTTCTATGGAGTTAAATTGAAAGGTTGAGAAGGAACAAAGAAAATTATTTGGAGAGTGATTCACTCAAGTTTGGGTATATTTTTCCCTATTATACAATAGTTCTCTGTGGTAGACAGAATTTTCTAACAAATAATTTAGTGTTTCTCTTGCTGAAAAGCATGTATAATAGACTGAAAATATACAAAATACAGAGAATATTGAAGTCATGTTTATATATTTGAGAATGAGTCTTTAAGCAAAGATTCTAGCCTGGTAAAATTAAACACCATAACCCCTCAGCCTTAATTTTAAATAACTATTAAGCAAATTTATTTCCTATTATTCTATAATCTGATTTTTAAATTTAAAATAGACTAGTCTCCTCAAATGCCAATTTTCAACATAAATATTCCTTATGAAAAGGTGTGGATTCTATGGAGAGGCAGAAAATTCTCAAGTAAGATACTGAGTTATGTGTTTTAAAGAATGAGGTTGAAGAGAGGTGCGACTTACCAGTGGAGGCATCATGCCCTTACTTGAAGGGGGGATGACAACTCGAAGATCTGGTTTTCGACTGTTCATTCCGAGATTACCACCACCTGGTGGAGGGGGGGACTTTGTAGGCATCACTTTGCCTAAACTATTTGTACCAGTAGTTCCAATCAAATTTGGAGAAGCTCTTGAGTTTACAAATCCATTTCCTGGAAAAAAGAAATATCATTCATTAACATGAAAAGAGCCATTAAGATACTTTGGCACAAATACAATTTAAGTTTTCCTCAGATCTAGTTGCAAATGAATTTATAACAAAACTGACTGTAAGTTGAGCCTCCCTTTTCTGAAATGCTTATAATCAGAAGTATTTCCTATTTGGGATGTTTTAGATTTTAGAGTATTTGCATCATATACTTACTGGGTGGGCATCCCAAATGTGTCATGTCAGTGCTCAGAAAGTTTCAGATGTTGGAGCACTCTGGATTTGGGACACTCACTCTGTAGTAACTAACCTATATCTTCTGATATTTTAAAAATAGGCAAAGAAAGCCAACCAAAGTCTCAAATGCATATAAAGCTTATGACCAATTCTACTTTTTCCCAGCATTACTGCTTGGACCTGCTGAGAGATACGTAAAACGCAACACAACATTTCTAACAGAGCATCTCATATTGAGGATCAAGGTAACAGAGGTATTAAAAGAAAACATCTGAAACCAGCCTAGTCCTTCGTTTTTGTGACAGTAAAGGTGCAGTTACTACTAGGTTTTGAGTGCTACACTAGTTATCAGGCAACTCTTCAGCTGCAGCTTATTTAGCACTTAGATCTAATGTCTTATTTTCACCAAGTACTTCTTTATGGCTCTACTTCTACCTACTATTTCTTCAGCTTCCATTGAAGTCCTTATTAAATATTTGTGGTTTATCTAATTTTAATTATCTTATTTCTACTTCTTAACTAACCCTAACAGAACCATCCATCTTAGGCACAATGGGTTTATGTCCTGTGGGCACAGTACTATTGGGCAGAAACTGAGATATAAAATGAGTATGGTACCATCCCTGTTTTCATGAATACTGTAGTCATTCTAGTCCATGCTGTGTGTAGCAACCATGTGGACTAGGTGGGGCTGACATCACTTCAAGCCCCACCTCTTGACAAGGATTGCCTTAGTGATAGACAAGTGACTCAGGTCCAAGAGTGAGTATAAAGCATTCTCCATCTCCATAGTGTTCAGATGCAAGAATGACCAATCATGTGTGGCTCCCGTAGCTCAGTGGTTAGGGCGCCAGCCACATACATGGGGGGCTGGCGGGTTTGAACCCAGACCCGGCCTGCTAAAACAACCACAACTGCAACAAAAAAATAGCTGGACATTGGCTGGACACCTGTAGTCCCAGCTACTTGGGAGGCTGAGGCAAGAGAATCGCTTGAGCCCAAGAGTTTGAGGTAGCTGTGAGCTGTGATGCCACAGCACCCTACCAAGACTCTGTCTCCAAAAAAAAAGCAAGACCAATCAGAACCTAGGTAACAAAGTTGTTCAAATTTGTTCTCCCTTGTTCAAAGTTGCAAGGGAGACTTCCATAAATGTGAATCATTTTGAGACTTGAAAGCCAGAATGAGGAAAAAGCTAATACAGAAAGAAAAGCAAAAGAATGGAGTAAAAACCTTGATTAAACCATGCTTATAGTTTGCACCACTTCTAGATCTTTTCAAATATAATGAATATAACAAAATAACCTATATTATTTAAGTATAAGTTGGTTTTGTTATACCAAGTGATAGTATCCTTAGAAACAGCTTACTCTTCAAAGTAGCTATAACAACACAAAAATGATTAACAAGTAACACACTATATATAATGTTCATTTACTAAATAAAGACTATATATGGTGCTTCAGTTTCTAAGTAAATAAATAAAGTAAGAACAGAAATAAATTAACTACAAGATACATTTATAAAAATATTTTGTGAAAATTTAATTACTAAATCTAAATGTTAATGACCCATTATAAAATACATTCTATTACTCCATATTTTTAAAAAACCCACCAATTTTATAATCAAAACATAAGATACTTTAGAATTACTATGTGTAAAATCTGATATTGGTAATCAATGGACACTTAATGCCATGAATACTGCACTACTATTCTATTTTGAATAGTCCCTAGCATCTTAAGTCTCCTTTATTACAGTAAGTACATAGAGGGTCATTTAGAAGCACCTCAAATCTATCAGTTTAAGAATTCCATTCCTTGTGGCTATTACAAAACTGATGAAAACCAAAATATTCAGAATAGTGAACTAGAAGTTCCTGAAAAGCTGACAGGCCTCTTGAATCTTCAATGTAGGACTCAGCATTCACATCTCATTAATAGTGATAACTACCTAAACTCAGACAACAAAAAACTACTGTTTGAAATGAAGAAACTTTAAACATCTATTATGTGTACAACACCGTACAATTGGGGAGGTAACAAAGGTACAACTGGGAACAAATTGTACCTTTGTTACCTCCCCAAGTGTACAGTGTTATACACATAATTCAAGTAGCTTTTTATCTAGTTAACAAGAACAGGAATACAATATACAGGCACAAATATACCAAAATCGTACTTAAATATGGGCAAGAACAGCATAACCACAACCAAGGGTAATTATACAAAATTTATAATGAAAGGAAAGCACCAACCCCACAGGGCTTAATCAGGGAGGCTTCTCTGGGATTAACTACTGACAAGTTTGAAAGGAAAGATGAATAAAAGAAGAAAACAGAAGGTATTATGGATAAATGTGAGAAAAATGATAGGCTAAAACATGAATGAGTAGGAAATGTCAGGATATGTGTACACTAACAGTAAGGAATACATGCGTATATACCATATACTTTTCCTCCTCCCTCCTTTCTTTCTTTCTTTCTTTTTTAGACCAGATCTCTCACTCTGCCACTCAGTCTGGACTGCAATGGCATGATCATGGAACACTATAACCTCAAACTCCTGGGTCTCACTCTCACTCCAGCTGGTCTCAAACGCCTGGGCACAAGCAATCCACTCACATTGCAGGGTGCTAGGATTATAGGAGTGAGCCACCACACCCAGTAACTTTTTTGTATTTTGTAGGAACAGGGTCTGTGTCTATGTTACCCAGGCTGGTCTCAAAATCTGGCCTCAAGCAGTCCTCCTGCCTTGATGCCACAAAGTACTAGGATTATAGGCGTGAGATCCTGCACCAAGCCCATACCCCTATACTAATATACATGCAAGGACTAACCAAAATTGAGTGTCTTACTGTATGCTTAACACAGGCCTAAAACTTGTCCTAATAGTCTCACCCCAAAAAAGACCGCATGCTTTTAAGTGAAATAATTTGCCCTGAATAACTATAATGAATTAATGACGCACTGTATATATTTTCACTTTAACAGATTCAGTATTGATTTATCAGATCATTTTAACTGTACAAATGTTTCTTGAATGGCACAGAAAAATTATTTAAAATCACTTAAAACCCATACAGTACATGACAGATTATACAGCACTTATAGCAACATTATATAATGAATAAGGTCACGTGATAAATATTGAATTCTAAAATTAAAAAAACAGGATTAGGAGAATATGGATTAAGAGATGTCATAATCATGGGGCAACTACTACAGAGGACTCCACCTATACAGAATTAAAATGACAGAAAGGGAATTTACAATATGGATGGTAAAGGCAATAAAGGGATTTTGATGAAAAAGTAAAAAAAGGAACCAAAAAATTGATGCAAGATACAAAGTGTACAGAAAGGATATGGTGCAGCTTAAGGAAATGAAGGAGTCAATGAGGGAACTTAAAGAGGCAATAAAAAGTATCAATAACATAGAGATCATGGAGAAGAAAGAATCTCAGAGCTAGAGGATAAAGTTCACAAGCTAACCCAGGTAGTTACAGAGAAAGAAAAGAACAGAGAAAAAGCAGAACATTTGCTCAGAGAATTATAGGACTTCACAAAACATTCACACATACGAATAACAGGGATCCCTGAAGGGGAAGAGCATCCTAAGGGAAGGGAAGCCCTACTGGAAGATATCATAAATGAAAATTCCCCAAGTTTCACTAAAGATTCTAAAACACTCCTTTTAGAGGAATATCAAACCCCAGCTCATCTCAACACAAACAGAGCTTCTCCAAGACAAACTATAATGAACATGTCCAAAGTCAAGACAAAAGAGAAAATTCTGCAAGTGGCCCGGAGTAAGTGCCAACTGACCTACAGGAGCAGATCCATCAGGGTGACAGTGGATTTTTCAACTAAAACTTTCCAAGCCAGGAGAGAA